TACTCCACTCAAGCTTTCTTAAATGCTTACTCTCGATTTTGCGCTTGCCGCGGTCTACCACAATCAATGTATTCGGACAACGGGACAACATTCGTCGGAGCGGACCGAGAACTGACCGTCGCGTACCGGTCAGCAGTACGAGATCCGAATTTCTTGAACCTGACGGCCTCCGATAAAGTATCGTGGAATTTTATTCCCCCCTCTGCCCCGCACTTTGGCGGATTGTGGGAGGCGGGCATACGGAGCGTCAAAACACATCTACGCCGAGTGTTAGAGAATCATATGCTAACATTCGAAGAATTTTCGACAGTATTATGCAAAATCGAAGCGTGTCTAAGCTCAAGGCCAATTGCGCCTCTCTCCGACACTCTTGAGGACTACGAATGCCTCACTCCCGGTCATTTCTTAATCGGATCAGCGCTTAATGTAAACCCGGTAACATCACTGCTCGATCTCAACGAAAAACGTCTTTCGAGGTGGCATCTAGTCCGACATGTCACTGAACGGTTTTGGAAATTATGGAGTAACGACTATGTAAATACTTTACAACAAAGAGCAAAATGGCGAAAGGTCAAGCCACCGATTAAACCCGGGCAACTTGTCCTATTGCGTAATCCGCTGTTACCCCCCTGCAAATGGGAGTTGGGCCGAGTGACGCGCTGTCACCCCGGCTCCGACGGATTCGAACGGGTCGTCACCGTAAAGACGGCCACATCCAAATTCAAAAGACCGATTGTCAAACTGTGCGTACTACCGGTCAATAATGAGGCGACGAGCAATTAGGCACCTTCGCTGCGTTGCGTTTCATTTGTTGTAATTCATTAGACTTATCGTCATCATAGACTTATCATCATAGACTTAAGCATAAAATTGTCAAGACGCGAGCGTCATTCCGCCAAGGTGGGCGGCAAATTCAGCGCGTCAAACCACGTCGCGTAACTTGTCGTCTTTTTGCTTATGTATCTTATGTTACTTGTGGCATGCGCTCTTGTCGTTTACTGCAATTGTTATCTCGATTATTTTGGAACTATCGTTCCAAGACGGGCGATATGTTCAAAATTGAATCATTAAAATGTCGTTTCTAAATTTCGCCGTTATATTAAAACGAGTGCCTCAGAAAATAAAACACGAGCGAGAACAAACAGTGTCGCGGTCACCCGCTCGGTGCGTAATCGCATTCTTAGAGTGAAAAACCGTGACAAACACCTGGTTCGAGAACGTTCGATACCGAAAAACTTGTTATTCACATCGGCAGAGCGCAAGTTTCCGCGATCGGTCGATTTAGTCTGCCTACGACAACGATTCGAGCTGGTCGATAGCAATCGATCATAGTTTCGAATATCATCATTTCTCGTATGATATTCTTTCGTGTTTTATTCTTGCTCGTGTCGCGTACACAGTAGGCTTACTCGTCTCAAATCGGTCCGAATTGTCTCGCCATA